GGGGGGGTCACGTGACCTCGGGGAGGGGGTCACGTGACCTCGGGGGTCACGTGACCCCCCCCCCCCGGTTACGCCGACGCCGACGCCGCTGGAAACGGGCCCCTAAGAGCTGCGCTCTAAAAAATACAACGTTAAAAGAAAAAGTACAACGTAGACTCTAACCAATTTCTTCAATGTGCCCGACGTTTCGAAGCCAGCTCGGCTTCGAAACGTCGGAGTTCCGCCAAAATGTTTACATTTAAAATACAACGTTACATAACATGCCACTTTGGGAGCTCAGGGGCAAGCACCGGTCTACGGATCCGCAGTTGGTAGATTCCAATCCTGGCCGAAATGCCTGCAATCTGGCGAAAATTCAATGCGAAGAGGACGCCGTGTAAACGAGCTTTCGGTTGCTCGTCAAAAGGTACCCAGGTTGGTGAAACTTATCCTCAGTCCTCCGCTGGGGCCTGCCAAGTGCCCTTCGTTGGTTTGGCACGTAAAGCAACATTACATTTGTATTCGTTACGTAACGGTCGCCACGAAGAAAAAGAAAAGATGTGCGTTACCACAAAACAAGTGTAAACCTATGTTCCGTACGACGAGGATTACGGGAGAGCACTAGGTCTCCTTATTTCTGGAACGCTTGAGCAATCGTTTCCGTACTTCACGCACCATCCGGCTCGGGTCCAGAACAAAGTTGCATCCAAATTACTTCTTTTTTTTTCTTTTTTTTTCTCTCTTGGACTAGATATGTTCGTTGAAGTCAGCGTGCGTTGCCAAAGAAGTAATTAGCGTTGGAGCGTTTCATCACCATACTATAAAAATCCCGACACATGCAACTTAAATTGAAATTTCTCGTGTTTTTGTTTTTCGTTCTTCATTTTTAAGCGTCTGGAACATTCTAGAACTAGATAGACACTCTTTTAGCTATGCAAGTGTTAAATTGTTTATTTGTGCAGTTGAAAACCGATTACTTTGTTAATTTATAAATTGATATGTGACTCCTGTATCAAGACGCGAAATTTTTGCTTTCCGTTCCTTTAATATCTGCTCCATATTGTATATTTTTACCAATGCCCGCAAAATCTCAATAGAAATTGGCAGTATTTCGACATAAATTAATTAATCCAAGCATCACGGACCGTCACACTAAGTTTATGGAACGTGGTTTAGAATGTGCTTAGGTCCAGCTGACCATTACTGAAGTTACGTAAGCCAATTTGTGATTGCATCAAAATATACGGCATGAACTGGAAACAGTCTGCAGTGAATATTTAATGCTTCACGTGGAAGACGTGATGCCGCATCGAACGTACACGATATCCGGGGGATCGGTGGCCGAGTGCGGTAAAAAAAAAGCTGAAGAGGTTCTTTAAAAAAACGAGTTAAAGGTGAATTCTAATGTATTTTTATTCCGTGAATCTGAATATCACGTTCGTTTTCCCCGAAAATGCAAATGAACGCGAGAAAATAAGAAGAACCCCCGACCAGTCGTTATGTCATAAACGGATCTTTCGGCTGCCAAGCCCCTGTCGCTCGTGTGGGCAGCGCGTACACTTGCAAGCTTGCCAGGTATTGGCGATTTTCACCACGCGTTTTTTAACCTACTTTTACGGCTTCGTGTTTTGATCGCCAGGTGCTGTGAATATCTGATTCGCTCGAGAATTCTGGCGAGCGAACCCACCGTCACAGCGTTCTGTTCTAGCCGCTTGGTGCCGTCGATTTCGCCGAAGTCGCCAATATTCCCCCGCACTGACACCAGTCGTGACGACTTTTTCTGACCTTTTTTTTTTTTTTTTTTTTGAAAATAGCAAGATTGCGGGTGCATAGCTTTGATAGACGCTGAAGTTGCGCGAGAGCGAGGATTCCGAAAAACTCCCTTTACGACATAACGCTTCGGGAAGGAGGGGCCTTCAGTGGTACTTCTAAAATGACTTCCTGCAGCCTCCGTGCACCAAATTGAAACAGAATCTCGATATTAGAGATCCTGGAGGTCAAATTAAGACGGTTTAAGTGTTTTTACTCGAATACAGAGTCGCTTCAGCTTCCCTTTAACCCGCCACAACCCGGAGCGGGTGAAGCAAAATCGTACCATAACGAATGTGCTAAAACGGTTCTCTAAAACTCGCTAATAAAGAGTTTTAGGGAACCGTTCTTGTACATATACGATACGATAGGCCCTCTGGTACGCACTGCGCATGAGGGTTCATAGTACCGTGTCTGATGTGCCGCCAAAACGGTTTCCTAAAAATATATGGACACATTGTTTTTTTTTCGTTTTTAAATCGTAACAATCGCCGATAGATCCTTTCCAAAAGAGCGCGCCATTGCATGTCCGCCTTTGTTTCGACACGTACTCTGGGCGTGTATTGGTCACGAGGGCTGCGTCAACGTTCGGCGAAAACTCGGATCCAATCGCACGTTTCGTGCCCGACAAATGGCGACCACAAATGTAGCCCGATGGACTTTTGAAAGGGTCTATCGTGCCTGTACTGCATTAAGCCCCAAAATGGCGGCGCCCTCAAGGAACACGGGGAGCGGGATGCTGATACGTTAAGCCTAGTTTATTTACCGGATCAGTGCACGCTGTATTGTCCCGTTTAGCAGAAACAGGGTCGGAGGAATGCGTCCGCTACACAGTAGCCCAATTCGTCACTTTTTTTCGCGCCATGTTCTCTCCACGGAGAAGGATGTCGTTCACGCTGGCCTTGTTCCGTATCCGGACACGTAATCCAATACCACGTAGGAAACAAGCTGCGCATGACGTCACCGTTAGCGGATGTCCGACCGTTCCCACAAGCGGCGAACACGCCGAACCTCGACGAGAGTCGCCGCAAATGCGGCAGACGCGTTCGTCTTGGCGTCGCCGCGCTCTAATGTGGCGCTCGTGATGTGTAGGTTTTTTTACACCGAAAACTCATCCGATTGTCGATTTTTATTTTGCACTAGAGGAAACGAAAAATTATGGGTGCCAAGAGGAAAGAAAGAAAACCACCACGCTAGCGTTATCGACGTAATACTTGAGATCCGCGTGGGCCCTTCATGCACACGAATGAAAAGTATACCTAAAAATGCCACGACCAGTCCAAAAAAGATCAGAATCAACGCAAACGCCGTTTGTAAGACAGCAAATTATCATATTATAGTGAGTGTCGGTTTCCTAACTTGCTGGTCGAATATACAGCCGCGCGAGGTTTCAGAAAATAGGCTTCATGCGTCGAACTTTACGACCTCTGACAGAAATCTAAAACTCGGTGAAAGGCAGCAGTATATCTTTTGACTTTTTTTTTTCACAGATGAAACACGAGGTAAAGGGTGACGATGGACTTTTGTTTTCAAAAAGACAACACCATGCGGCGGAAGCTCGAAATGCGATTGGCGTCCGCAAGGAGAGCCGCGCAGCCTCTCCTGCATACGTCAAGCAGGCGTGGTATGGTAGCGCGATTCTACTTCTGGGTGACAACCGTAGTTCGATGTCTCGCCGCAACGCGAAGTGGGTCTGCGCGGGCACAGAACCTCTCTTGACAAAGGTATACTAACCGGACGCCAACAGAGAAGTGATGTGATGCACTAAAACAGTGACGGAACCACGTTCCCATGATTGCTCGATCCGCAGCTGCTGGATCATTGTTCCATATCCGGCCTCTTCCCTTATTGCGAAATGATAGATGCCCCCCAAACGAACGGTGGCGATACCGATGGCAGTAGCGTTGGCCCTCACAGGTGCGTGATCAGAAAAAATAGTACACAAAATTGTAACTAGAGGGAACACTTCGGATCTCCTGAAAAGCAGCCGACAGTGTACGGCTCAAAGAAAAAAAAAGTTTTCTTTTACTTATTATTTGTCGCTGTTATAAACCACTTAGCAAGAAAAGTGATAAAAAAACAAAGGATCGGTTTGATATCAGTCCCCCACAATCCTTTTTTAGGAATTTCTGGCGACAAGATAGAACACAATATTATCACTTTTTTGTACGGTAAGTTGCTTCGCGTAGATCAAACCTGAACCAAGCGCAGCCGACGCTACGGGCTATTAAGGCCATCAAGCACAGTCAGACGCGTAACGTCAGGACTTTTCTAATCTTTTTGGGGTGTGTTGTTATCACTGGCTAAACTAATCAGGCTCCGTTATTGCGCCGTGATCTTGCGTTTTTAGTCTGCGCGGCTGTGTTTGTGTGCCTTCTGGTCTTTGTCTACGCACAGGCTTATCGTGAAGCAGAGTGTTGACAATCCCAATAATCCCCCTCTGCACGCCGCCATCTTTATATACCAGGCAGTCGAATGCTTTCTGAGCAGGGGCAGTAGCCCTCGTCTGCGGAACATCAGACATCGCGTATGCATATGCTGCCGAATGACTCGGCCCTTCGCGCCGGAGTGATAAGCACCGGATACGTATACGAGGTATTCACATGTCATCAATGCGAGATGTGAGTAAAGCTAAAATAAAGCAACTTATCGTGTACCGAAATTATCGGTTACGACAGTGCAATGTAAACCATATAAAACCTCGTTGTCACGTCGCGCTAAAAAAAAAAAAAAGAAATCAAAGGACACACGCACAGCTATGGCGGCCAGTAAACAGCCCCAATAGAGCCATAAGAAAAAGTCAACTGAGTTTTGCTAGATCGTTTTAATTGACACCTCCGATACCCGGTCTCAATAACGATACCCGATACTGATGCGATGCACGCGCAAGGGCGGCGGGGCGGAGTATCGGGTATTGTTATCGAAGTCATCGGAACGATCTACTAATATTGGGGACTTTTAGCAAACCGTTAGCGTGTTCCACGTACCGCACTACCTGGTGCCTTTAAAGCATGCTTATAAGCGCGCGCCCCGCGATCACGGTATCACCGGGACGCGGGCTTAAAAGCATGCTTGAAATTCTCCGGTAGTGCGGTACGCGGAATACGCTAACGGTCTGCTAAAGGTCCCTATTCGCTAATGTGTGAGCTTATCTCCATCAACGGTTCCGACCCCACGACGAAGGCGCCATCCCTTGAAGGATGAGTGCTCACCGGCGACGTAGTCCCCGAAGCCGATGGTGGCGAGTGTGACGAAGCAGTAGTAGAGTCCTTCGAGGTAGCTCCACTGCTCCATGTACATGAAGATGCCCGCCGGCAGCAGCATGAACACCACCAGCCAGGGCAGCAAGAAGGTGAGCGCGTTGGCGCACAGCGCCAGACGCGACGCCCTGTGCCGGGCCCGCTCCAGGCCGCGCACCAGGCCCCGCGAGAAGTGGTCTCCGATGCCCGCCAGCAGGATGCCCGTCATGGGCACGCCGGCCACGGCGTACAGCACGCAGAACACGCGCCCCACCGACGTCGAGGGGGCCAGGTGGCCGTATCCTGCCATGCAGACAAGAGACATTAAAGAATGTACAGAGGAATCGAAGGCCAGACCTTCAACCAGCCCATTACATGGCTTGTACCTAAGGTCATTGCAAACGAGACATTAAAGAATGTCTGGTTTGCAAACGAGACATTAAAGCAAATTTAAGCAAACGAGACATTAAAGAATGTCTCGTTTTCTAAAATAAAAAATAATAAGAATACGCTGTTCATACATCCTTCGAAAGACATGGTGTTGTCTCCAGACATGCATTCTCCAGAGAACTTCTCCAGACTGTCTTTTGCATGATGTATTAGCATTGTGACCGTGGCTCAACGTCGCGGAACAGAAGTCTTGATGCTCACCTATGGTGGTGACCACAGTGATGGCGAAGAAGAAGGAGTTGTAGAAGTTCCAGTTGGTGTGGGTGTCGTGCCCCTGCTCGTTTATGAGGTTCTTGCTGCGGGCGTCCGCCAAGCGGGACACCAGCTGTGTGATCTCGGCGCTTGTCAGGTTCGTGTGGTTCAGCGACACCAGCTTCTCTGCAAAACAAAGGGAAACGCAGTATACATGGCTTGCATCGATGTCAGAGAAGCTACCATTGTGGTGGTCTTGCTGCTGAGCGCGTACCTGTCGCAGCACATATAGTCATCACCGCATTTGTGTTTCTGTGTAAGGAAAAGTAAGAATTATCACTAACGAGGCGCAATGACCTGAGGTCAAAGCCATGTAGAGGGCCGGTTGTAGGTCTTGCCTTCGATTCCTTTGTTACAGCAGAACGCCGGCGCAGGTATTTTTTGACACACAAAACTGCAAAAGTGGTATACAAAAGTAAAAGAAAGAAGGTGTGAGTACTCAAACTTCCGCCTTCGGTAGGCGAAGTCCCGGCCTGGCACGCATCGCGTTACATGGGGGGACGCGTTCGATCGAAGTGATCGTATGTCGGGTGGTCCATTTGCGAATGGCTTTTCGGGGGATGATGTTTAGATGGAGACCACTTGACCTCCTCTCGAAATCTACGAGCATACAACACGTTTACAGCTTCTTGTTAGTGTTCTGAATGCCCCGAAAGATACTATCTGTTTGGAAGGCTTAAAGTCAAAGGGCAGGCGCTCATGTCAATGACCTGTGGGAAAGTTTCCATGTTGGCTGTGCGACACTGGGGTTAAGGGTAAGGAAAAATAGAAGTGCGAGAAGAGACTCGGAGGTCAAGGGACGCATCATCAAGCGAGTCAACGAAGCCACTGTCGAAGACCCCACGCCAGGTACAGGAAAAAATTCTAAAGTGATTGTGGGTTCGAGGCTAAAGCGACCCGCCCATAATGAGCTAAGCCAACCACAGGAGCTTCTCCACCCTGGACGGACTACACAGGGAGGCGTCGTCAACCATCGACACTCCCGATGAAACTTTTCGCACTCGCATGCCACTTTTCTTATTAGGATTTGAATTCAGTTAACCTTAGTAAATTTACCAACTTATATAGCATCCGTAACCAAAATGTGTAAAACTTGATTTTGTAGGTGTCATAGTCAGATTATCAAATTGATTTGTGCAGAGTGTATACAGTGTAACTACATTTCTGTCTACAGCAAAATTTGAATTCCCTACTTTACATTCGTCATAAATCTCCGCCTGTCTTCCTTTGTCGAACTTTCCAATATAGCGTGGGCCGGTCGCTCAGTCAATGGTCCAATTTTTAACAACGTCACACTCAGCACACTCTGGGTCTTGACGATGTTGATGAATTGGCAAAGCCGTGAGTCATTTGAATGTGCGGTTTCCATTCGCACACTCCACCGAACCATAACGTAAAGAAACTGTGCAGGAGCCATAAGTGACTACTATGTATAAAAAATATGAGAAGTCTCGTTCTGAAGAAGGATGAAACCTAATCATGATTCAAAAGCCCCAAGACTGCAGGTAACTACAGACACACACAAAACACTTTTGAGTGTGTGTGCCGTTACCTGCAGTCTCGTTTTTTTTTAATCATGTTTAATGTGCACCAGCTCGTTTGTGCCCTAACATTTATTTCAGATGAAACCTATCTGCACATGCACCCTCATGTCCACTGAATCCCGCAACACGCGGTGCGCCATGAGCTGAACACGCGTTATTTGGCATCGCTTTCAGCGCCATGACTGTTCTTCACTTTACGGTGATAGGTACAAAGATGAATTGCAGATATAATGAACTGATGAAAGGAAAGTGTTGTCAATTACTTCCGCTATTACCAGGTGATATTTCTTGCACCGCTTTTTATACATCTTATATGCGACGTATGGTTAGTCTAAATATAGGGAGGCATTTGAATGTAAATACAGAGTGCAGTTACCTTCAAAGCAATGAGGCGAAAATGATTGTCACATATATCGCTTTGAATAACATCAACAGGGGCAGGACAAGTTGTCGAGTCAGCGTCACTCATGACAAGCGGATTCATTCTTGCTTCAGCATCATAATCGTTACAACCATCTTCATCGTCATCATTATTATCATTACCGACATTGTAATTATTTTCAGCAGATGAGAAATCATTGTAAGATAAATGGGATAGTGGTAGCGGAAATGACACAGAACATCTGCATTTCAATGTTGTCTTTGTTCTTTCATTATTGCAAAGTTCGCACCACTTGTTTCGTTTCGAATGTATGATGGTGTACCACCCGTAAAGCCGGGGTCACACTGCCCATATACATCATACAAGAGACAGTCTGCAAACACGTAACAAAGGAGAGAGCTGGGCTACTTGGTAGAAATTTACTATGGTGTAAGTGTAACAGCGCGTAACAACGGAAACTAACGAAGGCTAACGAAGACGACGACTTTAATCTTTGTTGTTACGCGCTGCTACACCTACACCGTGGTAAACTGAAAACACAAGTTACCACAATATCCCTGGTTCAAATGCCGCGTGCCCAAGTTTCCCCTCAAACTCATTGACATGTGGCATTCGAAGCACGGATCTCGTGGGGACTCGCCTTCGAATCTTTATGCGCACTGTCTTTTGTATGATGTATAAGCAGCGTGACTACGGCTTTAGGCGTTTAGCTGTAAGTAAATAAATTCCTGATTGCTGCGAATTAACCACCAGACAGCATAAGGTTGGTCGGCTTTTGAAAGGCGATATTGGTTCACGCTCTCAGGCGAACAATATAGCCATTGCAGTATGACTGCCAATCTGGAGTCTTTCACATGAATCACGAGTGATAAAACGACGGCACGCCGGTACGTTCCTCATTCAGATGGGAAGGGGGGGGGGGAGGGGGAGGGTATCGAATCTGCAGGATCCCTGGGTTCTCCAGTGCGAGCTTTCTCCGAAGTGCAGTGCGTGCGCTAAAACAGCTTTGTATTACATAATCAAAGATACAAGCAAACTTGTTATCGAGATTTAGTTTACGGGTGATTTTACAGACACTTCTAGATCCAATTTTGAATAACAATAACTTATATCAGAGTATTAATTTTCTGTCCCCAAAGTGTCTATGTGTAATTTTATAAACACTTCTAGATCCAATTTAGGATAACAATAACTTCGATTAGAGTATTGAGTTTCTGTTCCCAAAGTAATAAACGCCAGCAGAAAATATTAAGAAAGAAAAAACAATATCAAGGGAACGATCTAACAAGCGCTGTGCTCATAACAAAGTTATTGTGGAAGTCCAAAACACAATCTTTGGCGTTTTCTTAAACCTAGTCTCCTGTCTGTTTTTTCTGCTCACAACCAAAGAGAGGTCCACTGGTGGCCCATGCGCTTTGGGTAACATAAATAAATGTCGTGCACTCTGGGTCAGTGTCAGCAATTTTAACCTGCAGTTAAGCCTCCAATGCCAACAGCTGTCGTGGAGGGCTCGTGGAATTCCTCGGATCCCGATTCAAAGAGCGTCGCTTCTATTCCGAGCATTCTTTTATGACTTTTTCCCGCCCGAAATAGAGTACGCCTCACGCGTTTCTCGCACAAACAACATCATAAAGTCATTCGAAAGGACCTTGATTCCAGGCCGACCAAATCTGAACTAGGGGGAACGAAATGCACAATGCGGTCACACCCAGCCAACTTCAACGACGGTACAATAAACGAAGATACGTTTACGCTCATTTATATGGACGGGTTTTTGTTCATATGCGTCTAGCTTCGCTGCATTCCAGAAACCGAATCGGTGGTTGCATCTTCAGATAACCGAGAACGGTCCGTAGCTTCTGAGCTTCGTGGGGTAAACAGACATCGCTATTCATGAACTGTTTTTTAAAGGTGAAATCTATTTAGGGCTGGGGTTTTATAAACAAACGTTCCAACAAACAAGATCGTCGCAAACACGTAGAAGGAAAGTTTTCTGCTCAGTTTAGAGGAGAAATATAAATAATTGGATAAATACAACAATTCAACTTCACTACTAAATTTATGGCGAAACGCATCCCACTAAGTTTCGCGCTCATATAAAAAAAGATAAATAAAGAAAAAAAAGCTTAACGTATTTCTTAACGTTCATCACGATTTATTGTATCTGCGGATTTTAATATTAAGATTAAGATGCATTTAATTTCTTTTTTTTTCTTCCAAAGAAGGAACAGGATGATACAAGAGGTGGAATACAGAAAAAAAAATGTTTCGTGTTTTGTAGGTTTATTATAATATACTAAACTTACTTTAGCCCAGTTAATTTTATTGAATCGCTTGGTAGCGTTCGTCTTTTTCAGTATGCCTTTTGTTAATTAGGCATTTTGAGCGAGTCCCATTTGATATTCTTCGCGTGCAAGACCCTAGGCCGGTCATTGATGGTGGCTGGCGAGTGGACTGCACTTTTATTATGTTTTAGTGACCTCTGTTTCTTGAACCAGTGGCCTTTTACCTCTGGTTCAATATCTCACCCTTTAGTTAGCTTCGTAAAGTAACATTGACCCTGCCGTACTTATGTACGGCGGGATGAATGCCGTACTTGTGTGGATACATTTATTCTTATCACAAAATGGTTAGGTGTCACATACGGTACCTAGCTGGATGTGGTACCTAACCACATCCGGTTAGGTACCAGCAACGGAAGTCGACAGGCCGACTGCCAGCCGAACGCTGAAGCAGAGCTGGTCTCCTCCCTGATTGGACAGCAGTGCTAGATGAAACTCTTCCTCCGGTACCTCCGTTCTACTCTCGGCGGGGTGTAATACAATGCGTGTTCAGACATACAGCGGCGCTCTGCTCTGTAAAAACAAGCGCGCTCCAGGCTTCCTCAAAGAAAAAGCGCGAGAGAGAACGACAGAAAAGCAGAGAAAGGAAAGCCTAGACTACTTTAGACGCGCTCTTTTTGGCGTAATGGGATGAGATAGTTCGACTGCTTGGTCCTCTTTTGCAGCGACCTTGCACCAGGGGTTTGCTCGGTGCTGTAGAGAGTCTAGATTGAACAGAGAGTCCCCATCTCAGGCCATCGAAGAACATTTGCAATTTAATGGCGGACGCCTTCTGCGGAGGTTGGTTGCGCATTCGCTGCTTAACCGCTTGGCGAGTACGAAAGCAGGCGGAGAGACCAAGACGGTTCTAGACGATCG